TAACTGTAGAAGCGGAATTTGGTCTTAAGCACGGCAGCGTCGTGCAAAAAATAAAATATTCTTTTCACTATCAATTTTGATCCAAAAAAGCACTCTAGATGCAGCAGATTCAGAATTGAGGATTTGTAAATAAATCTTTCTGTTCATACTAAAATAGTCTGCACGAACGGTGTGCGAGCCTATGTTAGTGTTGTTATTGGATGCTCAGGCGCAGCTGTTTGAGGCCTTTTCGATCCTACGCTGCGCACAATCAGTTGGCACTCAGCACCTGTTCTATGTATTTGCGCTACCGCTTCAAATAAAAGTATTAGTTTCGAAACAATAGTTTCAAATAAGTGTTTGCGCAACTATATGAGCAGAGCATTGCTAGAAAAAAGTAATATAATAATTACAGCACAATAATTCTAGCTTTAAACTACTACAAAACTTGATTAATATTTTCGAATCTCTAAGTGGTACTGTTCAAAGCGAGTACCGCTGCAGAGCTGCTATCGACTGTTTATAAGATAAATCGTTAAAGCAGTTTCGGAAAATAATTTAAATTTTCAAAAATCGTCGCTCATATGGCAAAAATTTTCAAACAATAAGTTGCTTTTGAACCAGTTAGGTAGCAGCGGATGCCAGAAAGGCTGAGGCAGTCTGAAATGGGTGCACAAAAGGGATTTTGTCAAGTCAAATGGCCATTAGTCACCATAGTCTTTTAGCTCATCTTGTGTGTGATTAGTGCGGATGTTTCAAATTCTCGAAATAACAGGATTGGACTTGATCTTAAATCCTTCGTTTACTTTCATTCTGTAAACCCATGAATTTTAATTTTTGGTTCGTCTCGTGTAAAATTGAAAACATCTGGGTTTTATTTGGCAGCTGACGCAATAAACTTTGATAATTCATTCCTGCAAATCAAATTATACAGTTTGGCAATTTTTTAGCCTCTCAACTTTTGCAAATCTCAAATGGCTTAAGCAGGCAGACAGATCTTGCAGAGACGCCTGAAAATTCGCCTGCAATTGTTTTGTCGCAATAAAAACCCAATTTTGATCAAAATGAGCAAAAAATAAGCGTAAAAATTTTTCGACTACTGCGAAGAATTGCGAAAAATGACAATTTTGTTAAAGTTCTCAAAGAACTCATCAAAAAATATTTCTTTTCATTCATTATCAGTTTGGTTCAGAGGAAAACAGGTAATTAAACTATGATTGGTAAAGGATACTAAAAATGAACTTTAAAATGTTAGTAATTTTCCAAAAAAAAGGAAAACTTCTCAATCCTCTTTCTTTGAAAAGCTTTGTCTGTTTCCGCTTGTGCCTCTCACTCTGGCAAAGCGCAACAAACAGAAAAAATATTAAGCAATGAATGAATAAAATATGCAGTCAAACAGCCATGAAGTGTTTAGTACGTTAGTAAGAAAACGCAAAAGTTTTTTTACGGATTTTTAGTTAAAAAATTCAAAATTTGATGATTTTTTATGCCCCTTTTTGTCGTTTTTGCTCTTACCCCAGCTGCTTCTTCTACGTCTTTCTGTCATCGCTGCGCTTGCTTCAGCTACTACAAGGTTTTATTGTTCCGTGCATTTTCAACATGAAAATGAAAACTTACTGCTATAGGAATATGCATATTGCTTGATTGCTGCAGCCTTGATATGACACTGGATCACCGAACCAACAGAGCGCCGTGGGACTTTTTTTCGTCAAGCTAAAGCAACGGGGGAGAGAGCATCGCCTGCTGCTGCAACCAGATTCGTTCCTTTAAGTACTTCCCAAAACGGAACTAATGTAACCTCCCCCGCAGTTCCAGTCATTGCACGAAGAAAAGCATTCTTTTTTTTTCTAAGCATTTCGACACCTCCCCTTATTTATTACGCAGGTATTTGTGTATGTGCGTATCTGTGTGTCTGTTCATTTATCCGTGTGAATGCCCACGATACCGCGCATTGGTCTGTACGCATGTCCATTGTCAACATGAGATTCCTGCATCAAATGGTTCGCGTTGTGGCGTACAACAGGAGCAAAAAGAAGTGGATGATCAGCGCGAAAATAAAACCAGAAATAGTTTTAAAAAGTGTTAGGTTATCAGAATTTTCACAAGGAAGAAACCATGAAGCTGGACGGTGGAATAAGGAATCTCCTAAAACGGTTTATAGCTAATTTCAACCAGAATTTTCCTTCTCCCCACCCTCAACTCCAGCGGGCGATTTTGTCGCTAACAAACGGACAATGGAGTGATGGTCAGGTAACTTCGAAAACCTGCTTATCAAAAGAGATTTCTGTTTGGTTCTTATCTATGAATTGATAGCGGTTACATGATGAAGCAGCAGTTTGCTGCCGCTGCAGCCAAAAAGCTGGAAAATTTTATTCAAACACTAAGAACGGGTTTAAATTCACATTTAGCATCAAACCCAGTGGATCCAGAGCAGAATGAAGTAGCAGAGAGGCGGGTTGGCGAAGGTCAAGCGATACGAGAACTTAGGGAAATGGATAAGACCTTGTGGAGAAGGGATAGCGCTAACCTCAACGAGAAGGAGAAGCAAAAGTTTAAATCCAGGCTGGAACGCACTGGACGGGCCCGTGGTATCATGCGTTTTTGCACCGGACTTGAAGTGCTCAGGTCATTAACTGCATGAACAGTTGTTGCTTTATACCTACCTTTTGCGGTCACTAGCATAAATCACCATAAATTTTGCATAAAGTAAAAGTAATGGCCACACTTTAAAAACAACCTAGCTATTCAGTGAGAAATTTTTCCTCCAAAACTTTTAAGTGCCCGCAAGTAAGAATCACGCATACCTCAAGACTGAATTTGAAATACTTAAGTTGTACTTGAACAGGAAACATTCCCCTAAAATTTCAGCTTTCTAGCTTTTCTGATTCCTGAGTTAGTAATTTTCACATAGAAAGTTTGTCCTTACATGAGTACTGCGTATAGCTGAGGGCTGAATTTGAAAAAAAAATTCTTAGCTCACACATACATAAGGATTATCCCCAAAAAATTTTAGCCTCTCACCTTGTGCGGTTCCCGAGATCGCTTTCCCGCCAAAAAGTTTGCATATTTTTTAAAGCTTGCGTACGCTGCACCCAGGCGTGATATTAAAACGGAGGAATGGAGCATGGTATGTGCACATATTCCCAAAGTTCCAGCCTTCTAACTTTTTTGGTTCTCGAGTTGAAAGTGGGTGACGAAAAGTGCGAACACACAGACACACACACGCACACACAGCCGACCTCTTCCCGATATGCGTTTTTGCAATTTGTATATATGCAAAAACGCATAAAAAATGAAAAATAGTGACACACACTGAAGAACTAGTGCAATTATGAGTGCTTTTTTTTTGAAAAATCGTTAAAACCGCTTAGCCCTACTGTTCTTTCGGCTCATCAACCGGCTGTATCTACGAAATCTTTTAATTCTTGATCTGCATTGATTGAGTTACCGTATGTTTGAGTGTGGACCTTATATCACGAAAAAAGACAAACTGAATATTGAAAGCTTATTTGATTTCTGTACTTCGTAGTGCAGTGAAAAATGCTTGCAATATTAAACACATGCATGACATCTTTACTTTTGGATTTTCATTCTGCTGACTTTATATTTCATAATATTTCTGAATGAGTAGCTATTACCATAAGTCAAGTCATAATGAATCTCTAATTTAGGCCACTCAGTTCCCAAGACGCAGTGAATTAAAACCGCAACATTTCAGGTTGTGATCAGCCCAGGAAGACCTTCCACACCATTCATTAATTAATTCCCTTCAACTGTGTTATTTCATATACTTTGCCTCGTCCTGTGTTTTAAGTTGCATATAGCGCTTGATCTTGCTGAAACATATGCTGCTTTATCGAAAAAACTAAGTCCAAAAATATATGGATTCACAGGAGTAGTCTCAGCTTAATTAAGCACTCGCTGAAGTGAAAATTTCGAGATAGTAATGACAGTCTCGAGATAGCTGCTTTGATTAAACAACTGCTCACTTATTGTTAGCCTTTAGCACCGACTAATGTGTTCATACCGTCATTCACTGTAGTTTCGCTAGTTTAACACACCAGTTTTATAGTAATTATTAGAACCAGAAAAAACGGATGACAAGGAAAACCAAAGGTGAGCACTGCGTCCTTCATGCAACTAATTATCCTTAAACATTCCCGCTTCCACTCACACCCCATATTCAGTCTGTGTTTACAGCTAAGGAGTGAAGCACAAATTGCTAGCTAACCTGACTTTTCGTTGCTTGCAGAATCTTCATCCGTTGACCTTATATTCCATGCTGCGTGGCGATTAATTATGTGTTTTTGCATATGTGCAGATGCAAAAACAAAAAATATTTTGACGACCCCGGCGTGTGTATTTCTGTGTGAATGTGTATATGTGTGTGTGCGTCTGTCCGGGTATTTCGACTCGGTAGCCAAGCAAGCTCCGGCGTTAAAATCTCGCCTGTGGTTCTTTGGCCAAGTGCCACCCCGGGACTGCAGCACTAACTTTCACACTTGTCTGACCCCAAGTACGAGCACCGAGAAAATCGCTAGTCTGCGAACCAGAAAAGCTCGGGAGTTGAAATTTCAAGGGAACATTCCCAGTTCATTATAACTTGAAGATTTCAAATTCAGCCTCCAGACATGCGTGGATCTCACGTGCGAACTCAGCGGAAATTTTTGGCGGAAAGATTGCTAACTTGCGAACTAAAAAAGCTAGAAAGTTGAAATCTTGAGGGGATGTTCTCTAACCAGGTACCACATGTTCACAAGTTCTAGCTACTGGGACTCCAAGCAATCTTGCAACAGCACGAAATACTGCAAAAACAAATGATTGCAAGGGCCCATCCGGTGCGCGTCGCCAATTATTTTTTACGCTTTCTTGCTTATGCAAATTTGAGGGTAATAAGACGCCAGTGTTATATGTGATTTAATAGCAACTGCGTCTGCTCCCAAGCAATTTATTCTTTGAACATTTATTGAGCTTGAAACTGACCTTAGCTTTTTATGTCTTAAATCACAAGCATTGGCAGAATGCAGCTGTTGGTGATAACACGCTGTCGGCTAGGCAAATGGTAAGTTCCTGTTTCAGGTTAGCCGATAATGGACAGTGGATGGAGAAAGGGAATTAAACCGAACAGTCATGTCGTACATAATTTTTTTTTGTTTTTAAAAATTGTCCTCCATTTTCATTTATTCCAAATCTGATGCCACTTTTTCTCATTGTCTGCACGATTTTAAAGCCTGTCAAAGAAGGCGGCAACACTTGTTGTTCAACAGTGGCCGATCCAGAAAGAACGTGGAATGAAGAGAAAGGATCGAAATCTTGAAGATTCTCGGCAAAGATCGTTATCTACAATGGCTGAAGGTATGATGTACGTGCTTATATAAATTGTTAAAAAACAGTCAGGTGGGTTTTTTCATTCGAACGATCTCTGGATTACTGCAAAGAAAATTATACTTGTTTGTGCCCCAAATTTCTGAAAAAAAATTGTAGTCTTGCTGGCATGAAACGTTTTTTGGAGAGCAGCATCTCATCAGCATTACAATTAAGGTTTGTGTTCACTGCTTACAATATTATCATTTCGGAGGACGTGTAAATGACTTTTTTGAACCAAGGGATCTAAGATCTAACAGCGATAAATTTTGTAGCTACGGTTATTTTCCGATTCCTTTTTGCATTGAGGGCAGGACGGGCTCATGTTTTAAAGCCCTCTGTCAGGATCACTTTTTTTTTTTTTAAACTAAAATACTCTTTCTAAAAATGCACAGTAACTAATACCATTATTATGCGTTTTGTGCTGTGTAACAACAGTACAAAACGCATATTGTCATGAAGTTGTCTGTATGTGTGTTTGTGTATGTGTGTGTGTCTTTGTGTATGTGTGTCCGATTACGTCTTGTTTCGCACTTTCAACTCGGGAACCACAAAAGCTAGGCGGCTAAAATTTTAGTATAATGTCTCCCGCCAACGTGTGACGCGGTAAACTTAAATTCAGCCCTCCCGCACGTGAGGGTTAACGTACGGCCCCGTAAAAGTTTTAGCGGGTATAATCAGGATCTCGGGAACCACTGAAGCTAGGAAGCTGAAATTTTATGGGTATGTCTCCTGCCCAAGCACGACCCAGAAATTTCAAATTCAGCCTTCTTTTACCCACGGGTAATGCGTTCGGACCGTAAAAGTTTCGGCAGGTGAAATCATTATCTTGTAAAACAAGGAGGCTAGGAAAATAAAATTTTGTGGGGTATGTCCCATGCCCACGTAGGACCTAAGAAATTTAGATTCAACTTCCCCTTGCCCGCTGGTAGCACGTACGGCCCCGTAAAAGTTTTAGCCGGGAGAATTATTATCTCGGGCACTGCGAAAGTTGGGAAACTAAAGTTTCGTGGATATATCCTTCGCCCTCGTGCGACCCAGAGAATTTAAATTCAACCTTATCGTGCTAACGGGTAACACGTACGGCCTCGTAAAAGTTTTGGCGAGTAAAATTATTATCTCAAGAATCACGGAGGCCAGGGAGCTGAAATTTTATGGGTGTACCCTCTGGCCACGCGTAACCCAGAAAATTTAAATCCAGTTTTCCTATGCGCTTGGGTATCGCGTAGGGCCCCATGAAAGTCTTGGCGAAAAATTGCCTCGGGGACCATGAGAGCATGAAAGCTAGGATGCCGAAATTTCAAGACTATATTTTCTGTCGCTGGAGGTGCCTCTCAAATTCAAATTTAGCTCCCAACTATGCAGAGATCTTAAGTAAGAGCACGTGAGAATTTTGATGTAAAACTCACTGGTTCGGAAGCCGGAAAACTAGATGGTAGAAATTTGGAAGGATTTTTTCCATCCATGTTTTCAAAATCAGCTTTCACGTACCGGCAAGTGAAATTTTCAGTGGGAAATTCCTCATCTTAAGAGCCAGACAGCGTATCTATTATTTTTCCACATAAGAAAGTGTAAAATAGTTATATTTTTGGTAGGCAAACGTCCGCTGTACCGGACTGCGCAAAACTCATGATAGCACCGGCTACCCTGGTGCGCATCGCCATTTATTTTTTTGTCACGCCAACATGGGCCACTGGCAGTAATGCCAATCGACAATTATTGTTTAACTATGTCACTAATTCTAGTTATTTTCACCAGTTAGACAAACCAGTGGCTAAATAAGCATTCACATGCAGATGTCGCAGATGGAGGAGATTCGTCTTTGAAGTAAAACAAACTTATCTTCTTGTTTACGTACTGGTAGTGATTTCGTCTGCTCTTTTGTTTTTCAACTCGAATTTATTTCAATCGGGCAGCGCCATCAGGAAAGGATCAGTCTCCGAGCACGTGGTCGTTTTTTCTCCAACTTATTTCAGGTTGTTTTACAGACTTCTGCACCTTTTTCCAAATAAATTACTTAGCAACCAGTAGTGATGACTGCCGCAAGCGGTTCAGTGTTTTATTCAAAAAGATTCTGACAGTAAAGAATTTAAACTTTTTTGATGCACTTTACATTACTCTGCTAGTGGCGAGTTCTGATGAAAAATGAACGCCTGCGTTTATCGCAAACAGAGCCCGCTTTTTGCTAGTCTTGTAGTTTTTTGCGGGCATCCCGCAAAACCAGTGAAGTGCAATATGGGACCGAGGCGATCGGGAGAAAGTGAAAGTATCGTACTCTTGTCAAAGCTGTTGATAGCTAATTCATGGTGCAGCGCAATTTACAGTCCATTAAGATATAAATTTTAAGCAAATCTACATTCCTAGTAGAAGTAGAAGAATATACTTCTTGTATCTTTTTTTCGTTTGCAGCAGGAAAAGAAGTGGACGTGCAGTGGATTTACTCCTGAACGATACTACAACCAATTTACGGTATTTCTTTCAAAAACCTTGTTTACAAGTGGAAGTCTACGGAAATGGAAAGTCGTCAATTGCTATAATATATAATATCACTTACAAACAAACCTGTCGGTTATTTAGAGGCAAGCTGATAGCGGTTTTGTACCAGAAAAAATTTATAAATGTATTATTTATCACGGAGGGTTCAGCTTTCCTACTGGCAAAATCGAACACATTCACCTTAGATCTTAATGCAGTTTTATTTGCCCTGCCAACATTTAGTAAACTGGATTTAAAATCGGTTCGGAAAAAAATCATGCAAACTACAAATTATTGATTGCGATAAAGATTTGATAAAGCTACCTGTAACAACAGGTAATAGTGTCTGAAAGAATACGCTCGGAAAAGCCTATCCATAGGGCAGATTAAGTTTATTTGCAATTTATGACTATTCTTATCACCATTACTAGCATTATAACCAATACAGGAGATACGGACAAATTTAAATGCGTCTTTTACACTTACCAAAAGTGAAACCGCGTTTTGAAGCAATGAATTCAAAGTTCAGTGCTTAGACCACTTAAACTTTCCTCAAAAAGAATTTCAAACAGAGTGGCATTGCCAGAAATGCTTCGACTTATTTACTTCATGCTTTTCAAGACTTTTTGGCTATACGAAACGAGTTGGCGTTATTTGAACAGATATATGGTGTCGGAATTGTAGCCATATGTCAGATGAATGAGGACAGCAAGTGGCGAAAACAAAATTGATGAACTGATAGGATCGGTGTCTGCTCAGACCATGGATCTAAAAAATGCGACTTTAAAAATAAGATCTTATCATCTCAAAAAAAAGTAGTCTTGATTTTTTGATTCCCAACAACCTCATTCAGCTCAGTGACGTACAATACACTCAGTGAGGTCAACTTTAGTCAATGAAACCAAATGCTATTTCTTAGACTTATACATCAGCAGAGCTTAAACGTGCTAAAAGTAGTTCTTCCTCGCTCTTTTCGACACTGTTACGAGAGCAAGTTGAAGGCTCTTCTTAGATTTCCCCCCTCCCCCCTTCCCGCTCTCCTCCCCCCACCCTCCACCCCCCCTCGATAAATCAAGTTAATCAGTGAGTTTGAAATGATAAAGTCGAATGGTTCTCAGGCGACCTTTTTTGGTATAGTGAGCCATCAGAAGCTCTGTCAGACCCGCATCCTCGAATCAGTCTATGCCTCTTTTTTTCGAAAGTATAGAAAGATAGTCAGCAATAGTATTTCCTATACTAATGTATACTTCAGACTGTGAAGCAGTAACTGTGAAGTAACGCATACTTCAAACTTCTTGCTAACAAAGAAATGTTGCGCAAAACTGCACAAAACACATAATCACACTGGCAGTTTTGGTGCTAAATATTGCATTTCATCGGTAATGCTAAAACGCTTGAAAACAAAGAATATTTTTAGGATGCGTAATATTGATGCGATTGCGATGACATTCGTGACGTCCACAGCATTTCTTCAGAAAAAGAAGGCGCTTTACTGTGTTAGCCTGAACGCAACACACGCCGAATGGTCAGAGGTCACTCTGCACCCAGTTTTCTTTCCCGCAGCGTCAATTTGCAAGTGGAAGCAGTACACGGCAAGCTGTGCTGTTGTGCAACAGCCAGTCGAATTTGCACTGTCAACCTTGCAAGAGACTGTTCATTTCCACACCGTATGTCGAAATTATCACCATTAAGACACAAGCCTAAATAACCCTGCCAGGCATAAAGCTAAAATATGAAGGCTGCTAACGTAGAAGACTTCTTTCGCAAAAAGCATGTGTGAAAAGAGAATCCAGATTTCTTGAATCGCAATATGTTTCTATTATATTACCGACTTTGGGTCCACATGGCAATTTCAACCCATACGGGCACCGTAAATAGTACCTAATGATGCTAGCGCACGCTTTCCAATTCTTACTCGTTCTACTTGGGTATCCGCGACAGTCACTGATTCCCGTAACCTCTTTTTTGATTCTCGGCATTTCTGTTTAGATAACATTTAAAGAGCCAGCCCATGGGCGATATGATGTCGTGGCTTGCTTCGCTCCGATCAATTATGCTCAAAATTGGCAATTGCTGCTAGCAGGTCTTGAAATTCGACGAACTTTTGGCGTTGCATTACAAATACTTTATGTCGAAAGCATCGAATTCAGCCTGATGAACATCTTGAAGGTTTGTTTTCAAAAAATAAAGTAAACAGGTGAAATTAGCCTGAAAGACACTGCCTTTAGTAACTTGGCTTGTTACGCGTTTTTTGCAGCTATGCAATGTAAAAACGCATATTGTCGAGGGGTTGTCTGTGTGTGTGTCTGT